ACACACACACACACACACACACACACACACACACACACCTACCCACACGCACAAACACACACACACACACACAAACACAAACACACAAACACACAAACACACACACACACCTCTCCATAGGCGTAATGGTTTTTATACTGTACAAACTGTATATTCTATCACCCTACACCAACCCTACACCTAAACCTACCCCTTACAGGAAACTCTCTGCATTTTTACCATTTAAAAAAACATTTGTTTACTTTATTTTTATACCAGTTTTACAAATGAGGATGTCCCCAAAGGGAGGTTTTTGGAGATTTTGTCAGGTTTAGCTCAATTTTGGGTACAAATTTTCCCCCAAAATGTGGTTAAATAGGTACACACTCACTCACACACACACACGCACACACACACACACACACACACAAAAGAACACAAAATCCCCTCTATACAAAATCAGCAGTCATCATAGTCATGACATTAACTAAATTATTAGAGCATATTTGGAAACTTCAGGCAGGCTTAAACATTTATGAATGATTATATACTAAATATCAAACAAGTGACCAATCTGCAAACACATAATGCCACAACTTTTCTTAGACCTGGCTTCACTTTTATGATCCACTTGCTGTCCAGGTGATTTTCAGTGGACATGTAGACCTTATGTAGCTCCGCCCCTTTTCAGCTCTATTCTGCTTTAACATTTTTATCATAACACAGTTTTCAAATATTAAATGGGACCCTGGACCACAAAACCAGTCATAAGGGTCAATTTTTTTTTCTCGAAATTTCGAAATTGAGATTTATGCAGCATCATCATTATGCATATTTGAAAATCTGGAATCTGAGGGTGCAAAAAAAATCTAAATTATTGAAAATATCGCCTTTAAAGTTGTCCAAATGAAGTTCTTAGCAATGCATATTACTAATCAAAAATGAAGTTTTGATATATTTACGGTAAGAAATTTACAAAATATCTTCATGGAACATGATCTTTACTTAATATCCTAATGATTTTTGTCATAAAAGCAAAATCGATAATTTTGACCCAAACAATGTATTGTTGGCTATTGCTACAAATATACCCCAGCGACTTAACACTGCTTTTGTGGTTAAGGGTCACAAATGTTTAGCTACTTACTACTAAATCTCACTTTTTGACCAATAAAGTGGAAGCTTTGTGCTGAAATTCTCACTTTTGACAGCCAAAAAAAGTGTCCAAGTACTGTTTGTATTACACCTTGCAAACTTGAAAATGTACTTGTATTATCCTTAAGTGTCCAAGTTCTTCCTAGGGCCTCTGTAGCTTCATTCCTTACAGATTTTCAATACACTCCCCACTCAACATGTTCATGTGATCAGTTATCTACTGCATGACTCTGAACTAATAAAAATGAGGATGATGAATACATTTCTAGTCACTGATTCATCTATGTTGTCCATGTAACAACTAACTAATAGTATGTGAGAAAATGTCTGAAAGTCTGTTTTGCCGTGTTTGTTCCAGCAGACCTTCACTATCAGCTCATCGTTCTGTTTGACTGTGTGGTGATCTGCTCCTGTTTGCTCTCGCTCATCCTCTGCACACGCTCAGTCTACAACGGCATGCTCTTGCAGTTTGTAAGTCTGATATGGCCGTCTTATTTAAAAGCTGCTTGTGATGGGCTTTGGTTCATCGTGTGACTTTCTCATCACCTCCTGCATTTGGTGGTTATCAGTGTATTACAAAGCTACAAAACAGATTTCAGTACTTCAATAGGTTGGTATATTAACATTATATCAGTTAATGAAATTACTGTATTTAACTGTAAATTTAAGTTAAAGCCGTAAAACCTAAAACATTGCTACCGTATTTTTTACGGTAAAATTCTGGCAACCACAGCTGCCGTTTTTTTACCGTAAATTTTATGGATTTTTTTTTACAGTGTATGGGCAAATGGCCTCTGGCCATTTGAGACGTGACTTTTTTCTTTAGTAGAAGAGTAAAGAAGATTTTAAGCTGAAACCGTGTTCATTGGTGATTCATAAAATGCAAGTCAATGGCTACCGGCACTTTGAGACTCAAAAAAAGCACACGCAGAAAACACAAAATTAATTCCTGTGGCTCTTGACAATATATTGAGGTCTTATGAAGTGAAATGATTGGTCTGCGCAAGAAACGGAACACTAAATTAACAGCAAATTTTTATTTTTTGGTGAACTATACCTTTAAGTGTAGCTCTACATTTACAAGCCCAAAAACACTGCTCCATTCTATTCTATTCTCTGTTTAAGTACACAAGAATAAAATAGTAATGTTGTGAAGTTGTCATATTACAGGAATAAAGTCATAAAATTAAGAAATTAAAGTCAGTAGGTTATGGAAAAGACTTTACAACCATATTTTGGGTCCCACTTTAGTTTGGGGACTAATTTTCACTAAGAACTAGCCTAACTATTAATTATGACTTTTGTCTATGTCTTAATTTGCTGCTTATTACTTGTTAGTGAGGTGTTTGGGGTTTTGTTTAAGGGATCTACAATATGGTCATGCAGAATAAGACATTAAAATGTGCTTTATAAATACTAATAAACAGCCAATATGCCAGTAATATGCTTGCTAATAAGCAACTCATTAATAGTGAGAATTGGTCCTTAAAGTGTTACCCAAATTACATATTTTATCCAAAATGACTGCAGCACAGACGTCAAGTGAGTTATATCATACTTTAAAAAACAATAAATGCTTTCTCATCAGGAGTACACCACATTCTCATCCATTTACCTCAATAAAAGAGTTTGCTGGTCTGAGAGAATGGAGTTCATCAACGGCTGGTACATTCTCATCGTCATCAGTGACACACTGACTATTGCAGGATCAGTTCTCAAAATATGCATACAGAGCAAGGTGAGCAAGAGATGCACAACAGAGGCTTTAAAAGGAAATAAGTCACGGTCTGTTTCTGTTCATCATATGAGCTGACAGGCACAATAGTGTAGATGCATGCATTAATGCTCAGTACTTGTCTTGTTTTCAGGAACTGACAAGTTATGATGTGTGCAGTATTTTACTGGGCACAGCAACAATGCTGGTGTGGATTGGAGTAATGCATTACCTGAGGTTCTTTCAGAAATATTATGTAAGTCACTCATTTAGTCGTTTTTTGTGTGCTTTTTAAACAAGAACTTTTAGTGTATTTCAGTGTATTTAGTAATTAATGTTAGACAGTGACGAGTCTGTATTTCTTGTGTCTCCAGATCCTCATCCTCACTCTGCAGGCTGCACTTCCTAACGTCATCCGATTCTCCTTCTGCGCTGTTATGATCTTTCTTAGCTACTGCTTCTGCGGATGGATCGTTTTGGGGCCACACCATGAAAACGTGAGCAATATTAAAAAATATATTCATAACTATAACATACCAAAGCCAGCATGAACTGTGAAAAGTTTGACTTTTATTGCTTCAGACGTTGTGTCAAACCTTTCACATGCTTATACTTCTGCGTATACTCCTTACATTATTATATATTGTCTTGTCTTTATATAATCACAGTATATGTACAGTGTTGTCATTATTCTATACAGTGGACATCCTTTTTTTTTCTTTGTTCTTTTATTATTAGTATGGCTTCATACTATATGAGGATTAATAGAATATTTGTACCTGTAAAAACTAATTTAATGTGCTATATTTGCAAAGGCAAAAAGGTGATGAAATTAGGATGTTTTTAACCCCTGAATTAAATATTCATGGCTTTGTACAATCACAGAAGCTTTCACAAACTATATTACATTTTTCATGCTGCATTTTTGTTTTTCACAAATAAAATTAAGCCTAAACCCTGCGAGATAAGCCATTATTTAAATAGATTGCTTGATGTGTTCATTCAATCAGTAATTTTGACACTGCAAGTGTGCAAATAAAGGCCTGCTGTTTGCTAATGTACAGCGTGAAACCTTCAAACCTGAAAATCCAGAATGAAATCCTGCCTTCAACAGTAAAAATCAAAGAAAATAAATATTGTATAAAGTGTAAACATATGAAATGGCTATGCATGCAGTGCTACAAATTCATTTTTAAAACTACATGAAATATTCAGTGCAGTTTATACATGAGCTCACAAAAGCTACATGCATTAAAAATAGTTTTAGATGGAGTATGAGTATTTAATATCAGCTAGCCATTTAAGTGGCTTAAATGAAGCATTTAATTAAAATAAAACAATGGCATCCCTGCTTTATGAAGAAAATGATGATAATGCTTCTTTCTCCACAGTTTCGGACATTTAATATGGTAGCTAACTGCCTTTTTTCCATGATTAACGGGGATGAAATCTACTCAACCTTCACCAAAATCCGAGACAAGAACAATCTGGTGTGGATGTTCAGCATAATGTATATCTACACCTTCGTCCCACTCTTTACATTCATGATTCTGAGCCTCTTCATCGCCCTTATCACAGACACCTATGAAACCATCAAGGTGAGTCTATTCAAGTGCATGCTTTGGTTTTGTGGTGCGCTAACACACTGATGCGTGATTACTAGGATGTGATCGATTATGTGCTGAAGTTTGGGTTAGCTGTGAGGAGTAGGGATGGGCCTACTGTGACTATGTACACTGTGAACTAACTGTGAGGCTGACAGTCTTAGCAAGCACCGTGAATGATCACACATCATGACTCTGCTCTCTCTGTACCTGCAGCACTATCAGAAGCATGGAGCGCCGCTTTCAGAGCTGCAGGCTTTCATAGCTGAATGCAAAGACCCACCGAAGTCGGGGAAGAACACTGTGGATGAGCAATCCTCCAACTTCTGGTGCCTTTGTGCTCCTTGTGTGAACTGCACCTGAAACAGATGAGAAAACTGCATTGCTCAGCGTCTCATGCATTGCTGCAAACCAGCGGCTCTCGATCGGTGGGCCGTGACTAGAAATGGGTTGCAGGTCTTTTCTTACAGGATCACGGACAGCACGAAAAAACGATTAATACCAATAATAAAGCATGCATGTTTTGAAAGGGAGGATAAAATCTTGCCACATGTTGTGTTAGCATGCTGCCTGCACACATTAGTAGCTAATGAAAAGAATGATTCTGGGAGGAGCCAACTACAGCTCATAAAGGCTGATGAAGCATCCAACTTACTTATGCATTATTATAATATCATTTATTGTATATGGTTCCCTTAGGCAAGATCAAACATATAATATGGTATAGCAAATGATAATAAATGTACATTAATAAATTAATTATAATAATAATTTCTAATAAATCAAGCTACATATGAAATAAGATGCATATGAATAGCACAATTTAAAAACTGAGAACAAGGAGGCCTGTGACTGAATGCAGTTTCTTCTGTTCATTATATGGTTTCTGCAAACAGTCGTAAACTCAGCAATTCAATTTTGTCAATAAACTGACAAAACAAAAATGGTCAAGCTTCTCAGTCAGCTCAGACTTTGGTCTCGAGTTCCTGATTAACCGTCAAGCGCATGCATGCATGAAAATATGACGATAACCAGTCACTAAAACTTGGTCAAACGTATGTTATAGGCCATGGTGAAACAATATTAAGGACACAACCTTAAATATTTAGGAGCAAAGTGATTAATAAATAGTTATAAAAATAAATTAAAATGTGCATACAATTTTTAGTGTTTATTTATTTATTTTTTGAGCTGTCATACAATTAATCGCGATTAATCGCATACAAAATAAAAGTCTTTGTACATAAAAGTACATATTATATGTGTGTACTGTATATATCTATTATGTATATATAGGTCCTAAATACGCACGTACAGTATATATTGTGAAAATATTTACATGTATATATTTATATTAATATAATTGATATTCTATATAAATATAGTTAATATATAAACATAACATATTTTTCTTAAATATATACATGCATGTGTAAATGCTTTCTCATCAGGAGTACACCACATTCTCATCCATTTACCTCAATAAAAGAGTTTGCTGGTCTGAGAGAATGGAGTTCATCAACGGCTGGTACATTCTCATCGTCATCAGTGACACACTGACTATTGCAGGATCAGTTCTCAAAATATGCATACAGAGCAAGGTGAGCAAGAGATGCACAACAGAGGCTTTAAAAGGAAATAAGTCACGGTCTGTTTCTGTTCATCATATGAGCTGACAGGCACAATAGTGTAGATGCATGCATTAATGCTCAGTACTTGTCTTGTTTTCAGGAACTGACAAGTTATGATGTGTGCAGTATTTTACTGGGCACAGCAACAATGCTGGTGTGGATTGGAGTAATGCATTACCTGAGGTTCTTTCAGAAATATTATGTAAGTCGCTCATTTATTTGTTTTTTCTGTGCTTTTTAAACAAGAACTTTTAGTGTATTTCAGTGTATTTAGTAATTAATGTTAGACAGTGACGAGTCTGTATTTCTTGTGTCTCCAGATCCTCATCCTCACTCTGCAGGCTGCACTTCCTAACGTCATCCGATTCTCCTTCTGCGCTGTTATGATCTTTCTTAGCTACTGCTTCTGCGGATGGATCGTTTTGGGGCCACACCATGAAAACGTGAGCAATATTAAAAAATATATTCATAACTATAACATACCAAAGCCAGCATGAACTGTGAAAAGTTTGACTTTTATTGCTTCAGACGTTGTGTCAAACCTTTCACATGCTTATACTTCTGCGTATACTCCTTACATTATTATATATTGTCTTGTCTTTATATAATCACAGTATATGTACAGTGTTGTCATTATTCTATACAGTGGACATCCTTTTTTTTCTTTGTTCTTTTATTATTAGTATGGCTTCATACTATATGAGGATTAATAGAATATTTGTACCTGTAAAAACTAATTTAATGTGCTATATTTGCAAAGGCAAAAAGGTGATGAAATTAGGATGTTTTTAACCCCTGAATTAAATATTCATGGCTTTGTACAATCACAGAAGCTTTCACAAACTATATTACATTTTTCATGCTGCATTTTTGTTTTTCACAAATAAAATTAAGCCTAAACCCTGCGAGATAAGCCATTATTTAAATAGATTGCTTGATGTGTTCATTCAATCAGTAATTTTGACACTGCAAGTGTGCAAATAAAGGCCTGCTGTTTGCTAATGTACAGCGTGAAACCTTCAAACCTGAAAATCCAGAATGAAATCCTGCCTTCAACAGTAAAAATCAAAGAAAATAAATATTGTATAAAGTGTAAACATATGAAATGGCTATGCATGCAGTGCTACAAATTCATTTTTAAAACTACATGAAATATTCAGTGCAGTTTATACATGAGCTCACAAAAGCTACATGCATTAAAAATAGTTTTAGATGGAGTATGAGTATTTAATATCAGCTAGCCATTTAAGTGGCTTAAATGAAGCATTTAATTAAAATAAAACAATGGCATCCCTGCTTTATGAAGAAAATGATGATAATGCTTCTTTCTCCACAGTTTCGGACATTTAATATGGTAGCTAACTGCCTTTTTTCCATGATTAACGGGGATGAAATCTACTCAACCTTCACCAAAATCCGAGACAAGAACAATCTGGTGTGGATGTTCAGCATAATGTATATCTACACCTTCGTCCCACTCTTTACATTCATGATTCTGAGCCTCTTCATCGCCCTTATCACAGACACCTATGAAACCATCAAGGTGAGTCTATTCAAGTGCATGCTTTGGTTTTGTGGTGCGCTAACACACTGATGCGTGATTACTAGGATGTGATCGATTATGTGCTGAAGTTTGGGTTAGCTGTGAGGAGTAGGGATGGGCCTACTGTGACTATGTACACTGTGAACTAACTGTGAGGCTGACAGTCTTAGCAAGCACCGTGAATGATCACACATCATGACTCTGCTCTCTCTGTACCTGCAGCACTATCAGAAGCATGGAGCGCCGCTTTCAGAGCTGCAGGCTTTCATAGCTGAATGCAAAGACCCACCGAAGTCGGGGAAGAACACTGTGGATGAGCAATCCTCCAACTTCTGGTGCCTTTGTGCTCCTTGTGTGAACTGCACCTGAAACAGATGAGAAAACTGCATTGCTCAGCGTCTCATGCATTGCTGCAAACCAGTGGCTCTCGATCGGTGGGCCGTGACTAGAAATGGGTTGCAGGTCTTTTCTTACAGGATCACGGACAGCACGAAAAAACGATTAATACCAATAATAAAGCATGCATGTTTTGAAAGGGAGGATAAAATCTTGCCACATGTTGTGTTAGCATGCTGCCTGCACACATTAGTAGCTAATGAAAAGAATGATTCTGGGAGGAGCCAAATACAGCTCATAAAGGCTGATGAAGCATCCAACTTACTTAACACCTAGACGCGCTGTCTATGTAGGCAGCACACTACAATTCACACCTAGACGCGCTGTCTATGTAGGCAGCACACTACAATTTACACCTAGACGCGCTGTCTATGTAGGCAGCACACTACAATTCGCACCTAGACGCGCTGTCTATGTAGCTGACTATGTAGGCAGCACACTACAATTAGAGACACAGCCGGAGTTTTAGCTTTAGCACATGTTCAAATCCGCCCAAAAATGCTGTCTATGTAGCTGACTGAAAGCCCACTGCGTTCTTTGAATGCGAGTAAACAAATGTGTGTGAAATATGATTTTCAAACAAGCAACACTCCAAAGAGAAAGGAAAACTTGAAATCGCATCATATGACCCCTTTAAAGAGTTTTAAATCCAACTCTACAAAACCTGCAAATACCCAGTGAAAATAACATAGCGGTGTTTGCTAAGATAAGCATCTGTTACTAATTGCTTATACTTTTTCAAGTAGGATTTTTCCAAACCCCGCCATTTATGACCTCTCACATTTTATTGTTGGATTTAGTTTAGTCTCTCTGAATAGGACAGTGGAGTATAGACCGGAAAGTAGGGCAAGAGAGGGAGTGGGGAAGTGGGATCGGGACCGTTCCACATCCTTGTTCACCAAACAATGTGTAAATTGAAACATAATAATTAACCTTTATATTCACATTTATACATCTTTAATGTTTTACTTTGTATTTACACTTCATATCAAATATATTTAGATAAATATGCATTATGGAAACTTGTCACAACAGTAAAAAAGTAAATCGAATGCATTTTTACTAATGCAGTCAAATGATTAATCGCATCCAAAATAAAAGTTTTTGTTTACATAATATATGTGTGTGTACTGTGTATATTTATAATGTATATATAAAAGCACACACATACAGTATATATTTTGAAAATATTTTGCAGTATTTGTTTCTTTATTATTATTTTAAAACTTTTCCTCAACTTAAACTCTCCCAGGTTAGTTCTTTTGCAGCTACACGGCACCATGTTAAAACAGTCATGTTAGACATGTCTAGTTTCGCCAGGCTTTAATAACAGGCTCTGCCTTTTCTTTTCTTTTGTACAGACACCAAAGAGCTTTCCAGTATTTCTGGGATCAGCATGTCTCCCTCCAGGCAAAACTTACACCATTCGCTGCATTCCACCATGGCTCTGCCCAAAACCTCCTACAGCGTGTTAAGTGCGTTCTGCACTGAGGAGAACATATCGCAGTGCATCGCATATATCAATCAGGTACACTACAAGAGGAGTTGCTCACATGTCGGATATGATGATGTCGGGTTAAACTATTACTATTATCTTTCATCTGATTGGTGATTGAGAAATAAAGCAACATGGATAATGTAATGATTTAAATTGACTTAAATGTAAGTTTTACTAGCATTAAACGCAAAGCAAAGAGTGACGTTTTTACAGCGTTTACTTTGTCCCTATGGCTCCATTTATTGTGGTCTTGCACATGTAACATCGAACGAACAGTGAAGTGGTGCTTCAGTCCCATTGAATAAATGTGAGGGACAG